TAGCACCCGGTCGTGCCGTCCGCTTCTGCCCAACTCATCCTGCCTCCTGCCATCCTTCTCAAAAGTATCGCCATCGCACTGTCGACTGCCCTCAAATGACGCTCTTCCAAGACAAGCGCCGTCAAGCCGCTGAGGCCTGCTCCCGGAAAATACGCCTGACACATCTCCTTCTTCATTTTGTCTGTAGTATCTGATGACCAGCAGCACCCGCGCAGTCTGCAAGCCGGCTGCATGGCCTCGCACCTCCTCGTTATCTCCCCTGCGTATCCTTGATCTCCTGGTAGGCATGGCCCCAGTTCTCTCATCTCCATCGCCGGCACCCCCTGCAGCTGCCTCGAAGTCAAATCTCGCCCTGGTCCTGGAAGTGCCGCGCGGCGGTTGGCCTCGGCTCGTTTCAGGCCCCGCCCCCCTCTCTCCAGCTTGCCCCCTAGGCGCTGCGTGGCGGCGTTGATCTGCTCGGAAATTCTTGTCGCGCGGGCGCTTGGGCGGTCCGAGACAATCCCGCCTCCGCCTCGAACCCCTGGGGCATTGGGGGCCAGGGCGAGCGGGGAAATCCTGGCTCTCGCCAAAGCCCCCCCTGGCGTTCCGAGATCACCTCGCCGACCCCAAACGCTAAAAGGATCGGCCCCGGCGAGACCACTGCGCGGATCTTGGCGGCGTCGCCCATAGACGCGTTGAGCGAGGGGTCGCGCCCTTAATCTTTGACCCGGCCCTCTGCGCCATGCCACGTCTGCATCTTGACCCGCCCTCCATCTCCCTGGCGCCATGGCCCCGCGCGCAGGCTGCAAGTATCATTGAGCTGTCTTGGACACAAAGTACATCCCATACGCGCCCCTCTCGCAGCCCCAGCGCGCAGCCAGTCGCCAGCGCATTCCATGCTCATCGACGCGCAACGCACCGCTCCGACAGCAAATGGCAGGTCTCCCTCTATTGACGCGGCGATGACGGACGCCAGCAGGAGGTCGCGCTTCGTGCTCGCGAAGGCGTTTGTGTCGTCGTAATTGCTGGCGGTCGCGCCCGCTCCTAATTGCGTCGTCCTCCGCAGTGTAGCTCCTACGCAAGTAATCGCATTCCCCCTCGATATGATTCTGAGCCCCCCCCCTGTGCCCCGCGGGAATGTTTCGGCGTTGCGCAGCATGCGCGCGTGACTCTTTTCGTTCTGTTTCTAGATTGCCCTTCTCCGCTGAGAAGGAAACTGACCTGTGCCAATCTAATGGTGTAGCTTGTGAGTGGCGACACTTGGTGAGGATGTTCTCCAGCTTGCCCCCGCGCCCCGTGCTTGCTCCTTCCTCCAGCGCCGGAGATCCCAGCCTACTCCGGATCCCTTAATAATCGCCCCCCGGGTCCGGTCTATTAAGGCGCCTTTTGGGGAAGCAGGGGGGCCCGGTTTATTGCGGCGTTTCTTGGAGCCGACGTTCAGGGGGGGTCCGGTTTATTAGGGCGCCTTTTGGGTACTAGCCCGCGGAGTACTAACCATCATCATCGTCAGCATCATCATCATCGTCGCCATCGTCATCGTCATCGTCATCATCATGTTCATCATCGCTAACATCATCATCAGCATCATCATCATCATTATCAGCATCATCAACAACATTTTCAACATCATCGTCATCATCCTGATCATCGTCGTTATCACCGTCACGATATGATGCGGCGGTGGCAATGATGGTACTTCTGATGGCGATGACGACTATCGTTGTCGTTGTCGTCGTCGTCGTTGTCGTTGTCGTTGTCGTCGTCGTCGTCGTCGTCGTCGTCGTAGTCGTAGTCGTAGTCGTAGCTCTCGCATCGTCGTCGTCGTCGTCGCGCTCGCAATTTTGCTGGGGGGGGGGCCCGGAATATTAAGGCGCCCTCTGCGGGAGGGGGCCCGGAAAATTATGTCGCGAAGGAAGGGGGGGTCCGGTTTTTTAGGGGGGGGGTCGATTATTAAGGGATCCAGAGTAGCTGTCTCGCGCCCCCTAGGTGGCGCGCCTTTTTTCCTGTCGCCCTTAGTGGCTCACCACCGCAACTCTGTCTGTCCTGCCCGGCGCCCCGCCCGATATCCAGCCCATTTTCTGCAAAGAAGACCTCCCCGCACTGCCCCTGTAGAAGGTGCTGTGCTTGTCCGAAACTTCCTCGTCGTCCCGCTTCGCCGCCGCTCGTGCTTCTTGACCGCGGGTTCCAGTGTTATCCATGTTCGTTCAGTTCTACCGGCACCACCCAAGGGGGGGAGCTCGCCCAAGCGCCACTTTCTTGCAACGCTTCAGCACGTCTCTCTCACCCCTCTCCACTTGTGCTTTCAAATATGTATCCAGTACGAGCGGCACCTTTCAGCTATCATCTCGTCATGTTCCTTCTCCTTCTCTTCCAGGTCCACCGGCTCGGCTGTCAGCCCCCCCATCGCGGGGGCGTCTGCCAAATTATGCGAACCATGTTTCTGTACTCCAGCAAGTCCGCGCTGAGACATAATATCTCTTGTTTGGTCCTCTCCCATTCCTCTGATATTGCACCATGCGCCCGTGCATCTCGATTGAGAGGTTGTTTTCCGCATGCTCCCCGTATTTCCTGTGCCAGTTTATCTGTTGATTGCCTTGTTTTCAAACTCTGTCCTGTGCTTGCGTGGCACATTCAGGATACGCACCAGCTCCTCCTTGATATCCTCGATGCTATCGTGCGCGCAAGAATCTACCAGCCCCACTCTTAACGCCATCCTTTTTCTGCCAGCCGGGAGCAACGCAACAACTGGAAGGCGGCCACCTCCTTGTCCTCATGCCTCTTCTTGACCAGGAATACCTCTTACATGGCGTTCCTGCCAGCCTCAGAACATTTTTTCCGCATCTGATATGCGGTAGGGCGGTCCTGCAACCCTCTCCACTCTTCTTCTGCCGCGTGCTCTCCATGACTTGCACTCACCACCACCAAAAAAACTCGCCAATGCTTCTCCTCGGGAATCGGCAGGGACCTCCTGGGTTGCACTCCGAGAAAACCTCGCGAATGCATCACCGCGAAGTACTGAAAAGGGACAGCCTGGGTCGCACTCCGAGAGAACCTCGCTAATGTTCTTCTTGGCTGTTGCGGCTGGGCGGCCTGCAAGTGGCGGTCGAACGCGACAAGAATTCCGCCCTCAGGTGACCTTTGCTCAAGCACCCCATCAATATGTTGCGGTCCGTTTCCTCGTTTGCTCTTTGCTGCCTGTGGTTGCCCGAAGCATGTACTTGATGCTCCAATCCAAGATCCAAGCCCAATGGGATGTGGTGTATGTGCCCTCTCGCTTTGATATGCTGCCATTTGTTTGCAATTTCTCTCAATGCTGCGCGCCTCCGCGCATGGGGTAGGGCACCTGACGGTATCGCCATGTGGTCTATACTGCTCGTCATCATATCCTCGTTGTTGACGCAGTAGTAAGCAGGCCCACGATCAATACAAGTCGTGACCACTGACAGTAAGCTGTGATCGCAAAATTCCCTGAATGCTGTGCAACTGTCGTTCTCCACTTCCTTGACCACTGGTCCCAGTGCTGCTGCATGCTTCCCCGAAATGTGTCAGCTGACCACAAAATCCCTGCTGTCTGACCTGTGCAATCCCAATTGGCTGTTGATGTCCCCTTCCACAACGATGGTAGATCTGCCACCCATGTCGTCGCAGTTTCCTCGACCAACTTCATACTGTGTTTGAAAGCATTACATTGTGTGTGCACCTATTGTCTGGCGGAAATATGTTGCAAACATTGGGAGCTCTCGTCCGCAGTCTGTTCCCTCCCGTTCTACCTCGCGGAGGAGGAGGACGAGGAGAAGGAGGAGGAGGAAACGGAGGAGGCGGAGGACGAGGAGGAGGAGGAGAAGGAGGAGGAGGAGAAGGAGGAAGAGGAAGAGGAGGAGGAGGAGGAGAAGGAGGAGGAGGGGGGGGGGGAGGAGAGGAGGAGGGGGGAGTGGAAGCGGGAGGGGGAAGGAGGGCAGGCAGGAGGCGAGGAAGGAGAGGAGGGGGGCAGGGGAAGGGGGAGGGGGGGGGGGGGGAGGAAGGAGGCGTGCGAGGGCGGCCAGCAGGAACTGCAGCCCACCACGCCCGGGTGAGCGCAAGCACGGGCCAGCCAGGGCCACGTCATGAAAAGCGAGGCCGTTCACGCAGTGGCTCCCCCAAACCCGGGGCGGCGGAGGGCAGGGGAGCGCGGTCGTCCCCACGCGGGGACTGGTTGACCCTCCTCCTCCTCCTCCTCCTGCTCCTCCTCCTCCTCCCTCCTCTCCTCCTCCTCCTCCTCCTCCTCCTCCTCTCCTCCTCCTCCTCCTCCACGTCCTCCTCCACGTCCTCCTCCTTCCTCCTCCTCCTCCTCCCACGTCCTCCTCCACGACCTCTCCTCCTCCTCCTCCTCCTCCTCCTCCTCCTCCTCCTCCTCCTCCTCCTCCTCCACCTCCTCCTCCACGACCTCCTCCTCCTCCTCCTCCTCCTCCTCCTCCTCCTCCTCCTCCTCCTCCTCCTCCTCCTCCTCCTCACTTGAAGCTGATGAAGCCGACTCCCCCGAATCCCGTCCTCCTCATCCCCCCACTTCCGCCCCAACTCAAAGACGACGAAGCCCCTTTCTCCTGAGGGTTCCCTGTTAGCGCTGACTCCCGTTGGTGAGCAATGGCGGCTTTCGGGTCGTAGCTCCGCTCTCCAGCGACCGCTTGGGACGATCCGGGCACCCCTGGAACGCCCTCGGGGCACAGCTGCTTGAAGGCAACCCGAGGCTGGAGAGCCGACGAGGACCGACGAAACCGTCTGAAAGCCCCAGACACAGAGCCCGAGCCGGAGCGAGGGGAACGAGCAATGATATAAACAGAAAAACTCGGAGGTCCGCAGGGATTGCTCGGATCCGCGCTGGACCCCCTCCCTGGCGCGCGGAGCGCGCCTGGGGCGGCTCACGAGGCGCCGCATGGGGGTCCCGCGAAGATCCGAGAAATCCGCGTGGACCTCAGCCTCCGAGTTGTTATGCCTGTGCCGTTCTCCGTTCTCTTAGGAGCTCCGCCACGTGGGCCCCGGCCCGCGTCCTCCAGCGGCCCCCCGGCCTCGCCCATCCACGCCGTCACGATCAGCGTCCGCCGGTGCGGACCGCCTCGCGAGGGCCCGCGCCGCACGGCCCGCCCAGTCCCCTCCCCTGGGCGCCGCCGCGGGCGGCCACTGCCGACGGCGAGGACGCGGGGGGCGAGGGAGATTTAGCAGGAACCAACCATCCCGGCAACCTTGTAGGCCTACCACGAGATGTTCGTAGAACCCAAACCATGTTCTTCTGAGAAAAAAATATTATACCATTAAAGCGATGTGTTGCAACAAGACAGTCCCAGCCATAACTGTTCTAAGAACATCTCGGGGAAGCCACAAAAGGTGATTAGAACATTGTTTGGCTGGCCTATAGGCACGCCAGAGGGCAGGATCAGTCAGCATCGTATCGGAAGCTCGGGTCGAATCGAGCTCTTCGTCGGATCGGGCCGTATCGGCACAGAGCCGAGTCGAATCGGATCGGCTGCGCCCGAACGGATGCACAACAGCGCCGTGCAAACGTCGGGCCGCATCAGACTGTCGGAACATCGGAATTGAATCGGATCGGGCCGGCGCGACGCGACATCGAATCGGCTCAATCCGATCGGGATGGACCCTGAGAGGCTGACGCTACTCTTGATATCAGTTTGCCTAACGCCACAAGGCGGACGCTGAGATCCCAGTCGGTCTGAATTCGCCAAGCGTCGAAAGGGAGGGTGAGAGCGTTGGGAGAAAGGGGGAGAAAGGAAGGGGGAGGGGCATGCTAGGTGCGCTCGCGTCATGCCTGACGTCCTGCCCCTCCCGCCCATCCCTTACCATGGCGTAGATTTCCTTTTCTATTCGCACAGTCGGATGTCGTAGCAAGGTATAGCATTACATGGCCTAGCATGGTGTTGAAAATCACCGCGTAGCCTGACGTAGCATGGCGTGGCGACACCCCAAAGTGGGGGGCTCTGCGGCCCAATAATCAACGTATCGACACCGAATGTGGAATCACGTCCGATGTTTTTTTTCGAGGGGGGCATGTTCTAGATTGTAAGGCCTATTTGGCAGAACCGACAACCACGCCGTGGCATGGCGCTGGAAACAAGAGGCGCGCGTGCCAAACATCATACAATCACGGATGTGGGACACTGGGAAGAGGTGGCGCGAACCTGTGGTAGTTTCGGGGAAGCGCGCGAGTGCTGCGACACGCAGAGTTTTGGCGTGAAGAACTTGATATAACACTGTGAGCTAGTGGCGTCTTTACTGGGCGTCTCTGGAGTTGATTGGGGGTATTGTGTGTGGCCGTCTAAGCCTTTTTTGGATTGTTTTGGGGCAGTCTTGAGCTGTCCTGAAGCCTGTTTGGCCCATCGTGAGGGCTCGGGGAAGCCAGAGGCACGGCCGGAACGGGGGGGCACGGTCGGTCGATCGGAGTAGGCAGGCAGCGGGGCAACGAGGCGGAAAGGGCGGGACAGGGGGGTGGCCGGGGAAAGTGGCGCGAGCGCACGGTCGATCGGCGGGGGAGGCACGGTCGGTCGGTCGGTCGGAATGAGCAAAGTGGGGCCACGGGGCGGAGGGGAGGAGGACGGTCGGTCGGTCGAGATGAGCAATCGAGTCGACGGCTGCGGGGCGGACGGGCGGGGGGGGGGGGCATGGGGGCGGGCGCGGTCGGGCACGGGGGGGGGCACAGTCGGTCGGTTGGTCGGAATGAACGGACGAAGACACGGGGCGGAGGGGGCGGGGCACGGTCGGTCGGTCGGCCGCAGAGAAAAAAAAACAAAAAAAAAAAAAAAAAAAAAAAAACGGGGGGAAGGGCGGAAGGGGGGGCACGGTCGGTCGGTCGGTCGGAACCAATAAAGGGGCCACGTGGCGGAGGATGGGGGGCACGGTCGGTCGGCCGGTCGGAATGAACAGACGGGGGGCACGGGGCGGGAAGGGGGGGGCACAGGGGGCGGGAGGGCACGGTCGGGCACGGGGGGGGCATGGTCGGTCGGTTGGTCGAGATAACCAGATGGAACCACGGGGTGGAAAGGGGGGGGGAGGGCGGTCGGTTTGTCGGCATGAGCTGACGGGGGAGAAAGGGCGGAGGGGGGGCACGGTCGGTCGGTCGGCCAGAACAACCAGACGGGGGCCACGGGGCGCACAAATGCGGGAGCACGGTCGGTCGGTCGGTCGGAATATCAAACGGGGGCAACGCGGAAGAGGGGGGGGCACGGTCGGTCGGTCGTCGGAATGACGGGGGCCGCGCGGCGGACGGGGGGGGTCGGTCGGTCGGCCGGTCGGAATAAGGAGACGGGGGCCACGCGGCGCACGTTCGCGGGGGCACGGTCGGTCGGTCGGTCGGAAGAATAAACAGGGGGGGGCCACGGGGCGGAGCGAGGGGAAGCACGGTCGGTCGGTCGGTCGGAATATAAGCAGACGGGGGCCGCGAAGCGGAGGAGCGCGGGGGAAAGGGGGCAGGGGGGCGGGAGGGCGCGGTCGGGCAGACAGGGCGCGGTCGGTTGGTCGGTCGGAATAACCAGACGGGGGCCGCGGAGCGCACGGGAGCGGGGGCACGGGCACAGGGGGCACGGTCGGTCGGAATAAGCAGACGGGGGCCACAGAAGCGGAAGGGGGGAAAGTCGGTCGGTTGGTCGGAATAACAGACGAGGGGCACGGGGCGGAGGGATGGGATGCCGGGGCGCTGTCGGTCGGTCGGAAAATCTCTGCGGGCGTGCCTCCCCCTCGTTAACGATCGGCGCCCCCGCGCTAGCAAGTGGCAAGCGAGGATGGCGCCGCCGGGAAGCCCTGGCTGGGAACCTCCAAGGGCCCTCCCGGCTGGAGCGCCGGCAACGGCACACTTCAGCGCGCCAGGGCGGATGAGGGTGTGGGGGGGGGGGGGGGGCGCAATTGCACCCGCGGCGCCAAGAGCAGGAGAACCCCTGCCAAATGCCTGCGCGCAGGCCCTGGAAGAAGAGCGGCTTCCTTCTGCGGCGACAGACCGACGCGCGCCCGACCTCCACGAGGGCGGGCCGAGCCACAGAGTCAGCACGGACTCCGACGCGCCCACGCAGGCACCAGGCGGCCTGCCCGCCGCGGCGTCAGCGCCGCCAGCGAGCTAGAGCCCCCGGCCAATCAACCAACCAACCAGCCAACGACCGAGAACAAGAAGAGCGAGGCGGACGGGGGGCGAGGCCGCCCAGGCGCGCGGGCCACAGCCCCCTGCTGGAGGCAACCAAGCCAAGGGCACAACCCAGGGAGCCCAGAATCAGAAAAGTGGAGACGCAGAGATTAGTGCAGCCCCGCCCTGCTGATTCTCCTGCCCCGCAAACCGTTGTGCGGTTTGCGGGTTATCAAAAATCGTTGCGGGCGCGCCTTCTCCCCGTTAACGGCCGGCGCCCCCGCGCTAGAAAGTGGCAAGCGAGAAAGGCGCCGCTGGGAAGCCCTGACTGGAAACCTCCAGGGGCCCACTGCATCCAGGGAGAGCTTGCGGACAATGCGCGCAGCCGCGCGCGCGGGGGCCTGTTTTGCACTCCTCACAGACGGCCCTCTGCACGCAAACAGGCGCGCGTCAGTCCTCACCACTTGAATCAGAATACTGCACAAGCCAATCGGCGGCGGCCACAGCGCCTCGCGACCGCGCTGTCGCGTAGCCAAACGCGGTCAATCCTTTCCAGCCCCCAGACCAGAACAACGCCGACGGGCCTCCCGCGCGCAAGGCGTCATCGGCGAATCCTCCGCGAAATGCGCGAGTCCCCCATGCAGCGGCGCCTGGTAAACCGAGGGCGGCCGCCCCAGCTTTCAAAAACCAAAGTGGTTCTGGATGCCTGATGCCGCCGAAGGGCACTGCATTCTGCGCGGCCGCTTCACTGAGGGCGCAAACGCCACACAGAGGCAAACGCGCGGCAGTGCAACCGCACCTCCGACTCACCTCCACCGGCGCGCTGTCGCATTTTCCCCGCGGGAAGGTAATCGCGAGTGCGGAACGGCGCGGCCTCCTTTCCAAGCGCCAGGCACTCAGACGAATACCGCAGGCAAAAATGCATGGCAACCACCCACGACCATGCTATGTCTTGGCGGCCTGCTGCTCTCGCCCATGTGGCCAAGGCTCTTGTTTTGGCGGTTGTGGCCCACACTCTGGGGCGGGTCCGTCGTGCGCATGCCTGTTCCGCTCCTCGCACCAGCCGGCTAGTGCCCGCTAAATCGCCAAGCGGAGCACGTTGCAGCGCCAGCGCAGAACGAATATGCGAACAAGATCTTCCCAGCGATGCACTATTACGAAAGAGCGTGCTGAAAACGCACACAACCGGATATTGTGGCGGCCACGGCTGACCGCCCGCCAGAGCAGCAGCCTCGCCCCAAAGTTGAATTGCAGCTGCATGTGACGAAGCACTCCTCCTCCAACTGCGAAACACAAGCCAAGTCGCACGCCCCTCGAAATACACCTGCGCTGCCGCCTGACCGCGCGCCCGCTTGGCAGCAGCACGGGGCAGCAGGTCGACATCAACAACCGGGCAATCTGCCAGCCGGGCCAGATCTCTGATTGCCTCAGCGCACACTTTTGGAGGAAGAGCTTGTCCTGCACGCCGCGCCCGGGCAATGAGAGTGAGCGCAGCTTGCCCGCGCATGTCCAGGACGGGGGGGTGGCTATGAAGCTGTGGCTGCACCTGCGAAACTGACACTGACGTTGCCGCGACAACCCTGCTGGACGAAGCCTATGCCTGCCGAGCTGGCCTGGCGACCTGAAGCTGGCACAGCTGCAGAAACCGTGCCACGAACTGCCTCGAGCAAGCTGCCAGGGGCTGCCAGATTTCCTGCGCGTCTTCGACGGGTAAACTTTCGAAGTCCGCCGCGCCGCCAGCGCCTGCGCGGAGAAGCTCCGCGTGCACAAAGTCAGTAGCTGGCCCTGGCGGACTCGCAGACGCCACTTGCCGGAACAGATCGGGAACCGCAGCGGAATTGCTGGGAGCGCCCTCAGCGCCTGGAGACCCTTCAGCAGCCTGCGCGGCAGCAGGGGACAGCGCAGACTGGGCCTCGCGACTGCGCGCAACAAAATCTATCATGCCAGCTTGCGCCAAAATGACTACGGAGCAAGGCAGACATGAGACTGGCGGCAAGATCCGCAATCCGAGCACGGAAAGGCCGAAATGAACAACCGATGCGTAAATCGGCAATTGGCGCCTTCCTCTCATTTCGGGCGGTGGCAGAACTGGGTGTAGTGGGACTTGGTTTAGTGATGTGTGCTGGGGGACGCCCTCCCCGCCCGTTTCACCAACCGGAACTGCCGTCACCCGAAAAAACACCACCTACGGCAAACCTGGTTTAGTGATTCTGGCCAATTTAGGGGCTCCAGGGCCCTACTACTAACCGGGTCCCCTTCTTTGGGGTCCTGGCTATACCCGATCATAAACCGTCTATCCCGCCCGTCGTCATCCGCCCTCCCGCTACCCTGTGCACCCAGCGCCCCTCTCTTCTCAGGAGAGGGCGCGAATGCCGCTCGTACGAAGGGCGCGAGAGAGGTAGGGAAGGGGGGCGGAACCGTGGAGGAGGCGTCGAGGGAGGACGGGGGAAAGGGGGGATATGGAGGATGGAGGAGAGGGGGGGGGGGGTAGAACGGTGGATGAGGAGGTGGGAGGCGACTACGAGGTGGAGGGCATGGGGCGGTGAAGGAGAGGATCGCATCGCGAGGAGCAAGGATATGAACCTTCGTTTTGGGCTGACGAATCCGGACGCTTCGCCACTGCTTGGTGGGCCCCTCCGTCGGCGGCGGACGCTCCGACGCAGCCTGGCCTCGACGGCGGCCCGCGACCCGACCCCCGCCCGTGCCGGCCCCGCTCAGCGCCCTCGCCGGGAGGGCGACGACGACGGTGACGATGACGATGTTGCGACGTGCGGGGCGCGGGAGCCCCGACCCCCCCAGCGCCCGCGACGACGCCTCGCCCGACGTCCTGCCCGACACCTCGTTCGAAGTCGCGGCCGACGGCGCCCCCGACAGCCCTGAGGGCCACGATCGGCAGCCGAGTCCCGTACAGGCCCAGCCCCTGGCGTCGGCCAGCGCCCCCGCCCCGGCCCCAGAGCTGAGTGCCGCCGCGCGGGCGGGCGGTGCGGCCCGCGGCCGCGAGAGCCCCGGGGTGCCCAGAGGAAGACCAAGACGCCGCGGGGCAACCCATGGCAGGGACGCCGGCACGCTGCACAGACGCCCTCGCGGGCGGACTCGGTGGGAGCCTCTTGACGGCGAGACGCCTGGCGACTGCGCCAGGCGGCTCCAGCGCGAGGCGGGAGGCGGTCGGCTGTCCCCTGCTCGGCTCTCCTCCGCGGGCTCGTGGCAGCCAGGCACGACGTCACGGGGTGGGCCGAGCGAGAGGGCGCGGCGCTGCCGCGGCACCAGCACGGGGGGCGGCCCGCGGGCCCATGGCCAAGGATCCCGTGGACCCTGGTCGCAGCCGGTGCACACCTGGAGCGGGGCACCCGGTGCGCTCTGCGGCCCTGGTCGGGGCAGGCCGTCTCTTCGGGATGCCCCCTTTGCCCATGCTGCCCGGGTGTTTCGCTCCTCTGGCTACCCGAGCTTCCCCCGCGACGTTTGGGCTTTTCGCCCCCCTGGCTCCCTACGCTGCGCCCTCGCGCAGGTCTTCCTGCCCGCCACTGCTTCCCCTCCCCCCCTCCCCTTTCTTGGGGGGAGGCGCAAGACTCGGGAACGGGGGACTCGGGTTGGCCTGACGGGGGCCATCATGAAAATGACGAGGCCCAATCTGAAATTTGACGCGGGCCCCCGCTGCAGACATCTCACGAACAGAGGACCGTCAAGATCCAGGACGCGCTCGTCACCAGAAGTCGGCAAACCCGAGTTCTGGCTTACTCGAGTCTTACGTCTCCCCGAAACGTTTCCCCCCCTCTCCCCCCCGCTGGCGCCGCCGTGGTGACGTCGGCCTCTGCCAGGCTTCTGGCCGCAGCCTCCGGGCTGCCTCAGGCCCGGCGCCTGGCTCGGGACGTCGATCTTCGGCACGCTCGGCGGCGTCGTCCTGACGTCCCTCCGGCTTCGGGGATCTGCTGACACGGGTCGATGCAGACCCGGGTCAGTCGGGCCTTGCAAGATCCTGCAAATTCCTACAAAATCCTCCACCCAAACCCGGGTCAATGCGAAGGATCCTGCAAGTTCCTGCAGGATCCTGCACCCAGACCCGGGTCAATGCGACCCTGGCCCTGCAGGATCCTGCAAGATCGCGCGCTCTGGCTGACCCCCGTTTGCATGGACCCCTGTCTCAAGGCTCCCGAACCTGGTCGCCGTTCTCGCCCAGTACCTGCGTGGCGTGCGCGCGCCAGGGCCGCACAATCTGCTTGATCCTCTGCCTTCTGGCCTTGTCTTGAATACTTTTTTCCCTGGCTTCGTTGGAGCCGGCCGACCAAGCACGCTGCTCAAACACCGAATCAGACCCACGTGGAGAACTATTAGAGCATGCCGTCTCTGGCACCCACTGGCCCGCCGCAACCAGCACTCATTCTGTTGCGAGTACGATGCGTCCAGCGGAATGAATTGCGCCACCTCTGCCGCACAAGCGTGCTGCCTGCCGAAGAGCCAGCAACAATCGCCGCCAGGGTTGCTGCCGCTCACTGTCGCCGCAGCCATCAGGACTACCGCTGCTCGGCTACCGCTGCACGCACAACGCTGGAGCCGCTCCACGGACTGTTTGATTTCTCTATTGTCGGGTTGGTTTAGACAGCGCCACATTCCCTCAGCCCTGCTGGGCTTGCGGGCTATGGCTTCGCATTCCTGCTCATCTAGCTCATCCTATTCATGCGCTTCATGGACTCGCCCCTGGACGTCTCTGTGCACCCCTGGCACTCGCGTGAAAGACTAAATTTTCTGAGCGCGGCTCCTCCCTTTCCGCCTCCCTCCTTTCTGTCCGCGGCTTCTTTGATTCGTGTCCAAATTCGCCTCCAGTCGCTGGCGCCCGCTGACAACTCCCCTACTCTAGACCCAACATGTATGCGGCATCTCTCGAGCTGGGTCGAAGTGTGATGGCCCTAGGGCCCGAAACTGTGCAAAAACGCCCAGAGCAGAAAAATTGGCAACGCCCAGCTCTTAGGGTTAGCACACCAAGCGTCCACCCGGGAGGCGGGATGGCGCCAGGACGCCCAGGAAACCTCCAGGAGAGTCCCCAGAGAGAGATCCCCCAAGCAGTGCCAGGGGGCCCCGAAGCAGCAGGCGCCCAGAAGCAGCAACAGGAGGAGCGGATGGCATGGGCGTGCAGGCGAGCTGGAGGGAGTGGGCGAGCAGGCCGGGAACAACCACCTGGAATCGGCGATGCATCGCCGAGAGATCGACGCCGGGCCTCCGCTGGCGAATCCGCACGCCCCTGAGCGGGGTGGGCTGTCGAGCCCCCCTCGGCGATGACTAGGCGGTTGGGGGCCGATGCACCCCCACCGTGAGCCCATCCTTCCCTGAAGCCGCTCCTTAGAAGAGGGCCAGAAGGAGCGCTTGCTGGACGCTGCCGGCGCCGCGCTGGCCTGTACCAACGTCTCCGCCGTTGCCGTCGCTCGCAGGGACGCAGAAGATGACTACCTCGGCGACGCACGGAGCACGTGGGCACGCATTCGCACCAAGGCGTGTTATGCTCCGGGCTCGCTGCGCAGACGCGCGTGCGAGAGGCAAAAGCACAAGCTGCCTCGGCGCAGCGCTGCAAGCCCCACTGCATATCCTCCTGCCCCGTATTCGTGTCGTCCTGCTCCGACATTCGGGAATCCAAAAACGGCATACACATAATCTCTCAGAGGTCCGCGAGGATTTCTTGGACCGGCGCTGGATCCCCCTCCCTGGCTCGGGGAGCGCGCCAGAGGCGGCGCCAGAGGCGTCGCCAGGGGGGGGCCAGGCGTCGATCCAAGAAATTCGCGCCGCGCTCCAAGAAATCATGAGTATGTCATTGTTCGTTCTTCGACTGGCAGTTCTTCGTCCACCACACCTCCCTCCTGCTCGCTCTCATCTCCTTGCCTACCTCTCACCCTCTCCTGCTCCAGGCTATGCCCGTCCTGCCCTCCACCTCGTTGTCGTCGACGTCCCCCTTCTTCGTATATGTCCCTCCTCCTCCCCCACGTCATGTTTGTCGTCTTCATCGTTGTCATCTTCGGACTGAAAACATCCTCATCTTCCGCCACTTCCTCCAACACCCCATCCCATTTCCTCCCGTTCATCACCATCAACATCATCCTTCTGCTATATATCCACCTCCACCCTGCCTGCGTCACCTCTGCCTGCGGATCCCGCCGCTGATCGTCCTCCTTGATCATATCCCTTCGTCTTCGTGTCTGCCTCCCTCCCTCCATCCTTTACACCCTCCCATCCCTCAGTCTCTCCCTCACCCACCCCTTCTTGTATCCTAGATCCCCCTTCCATCCTTGAATTTCACCTTGGAATGCACACAGACGCATGCGAATGCGGCCACGAAAGCGCAGCCTGAGGCGTCTGATCACTCCCTGGCGGTTCCCCCGTGGAGTGCAGAATTGCGCTGCCTGCTTCATCTGGATGAGCGTGGGAATCTGAAATGACAGGGGTCGGGGGGGGCCTGAAATCCCCTGAGGGGTCCCACGATCTGGGCGCGAATTGGCGAGTGCAACACCGCCGGGCGGCTCCCCGACAGGGTGCCCAGGTGCCACGCCTTCTCCGTCGCGGCGGCCGTGAGGCTCTCCAAGTGGCCTGAGACACCGCCACAGTCTGCGCGCGAACGGGCAAATGTCATACCCCCCTCGTGGCTCCTCCTCGAGGCTCCCTAGCGACACGCTGCCATATCGGGGTGCGACAGGCTCCCTGCGCCACCAGGCGGAGGAGGCGGAGGCGGAGGCGGAGGCGGAGGCGGAGGCGGAGGAGGAGGAGGAGGAGGAGGAGGAGGAGGAGGAGGAGGAGGAGGGGGAGGAGGGGGAGGAGGAGAGCAAACGGCCCGAGGCATCCCCACAATGTGGCCGCGCACGGAGGCATGCAAGCACTCCCGGCGGCTACTCTCTCGAGGCCCCAAAAATGCCACGCCCGCTGTAACGCGGTGAGCGTGAGGCTCTGAATACAGAGAAGCCTGCGCTACCAAGCGAGAACACCGCTCGAGACTGAAGGGGCCCTGGGACACACACACATAAATACACACAAAAATAAAGAGATTCCCCGTATGTTCCCATATTTTCGGGGTGTTTGTCTTCCCGTCCAATTCCCATATGTTCCCATATGTTCCTGGGAATCGACGATTAATTGTGTCTGTGTGTTTTTCCCCTCCTGAGAGACATCCCCACAGCCTGGCCGCGACCGAAGAAATGCTAACATCCCTGGCGGATCCTCCTTCCACATGTGCTACGCCGCGGTGGCGCGGCTATTGGGAGAAAGTCTGCCCGTGGCTAGCGGGTTTGAGGGTGAGTGCTTATGAGCGTGTGAGCCTGGGAGTGACAAGCAATTACGACCACGAGATCGCATGAGTGTGAGTGGGATGCGTGTGATGGGTCTGTGGGAGGAAGTCCGGATGTGACTAATTGTGTGAGAGTGGGTCTGTGCGTGTGAGTGAGCCTGAGTGTGACTGAGTCTGATAATGACTCAGCTGAGTATCAGTGTATGTGTGGGTCTGTGGGTGAGTGAGTGAGCCTGAGTGTGAGTAAGTCTGAGTGTGAGTGAGCCTGAGTATGTGTGAGTTTGAATGTGAGTGAGTCTACTAATGGATAAGTCTGAGCGCAAGTGGTCTGAGCATGAGTACGAGTGGACGCCTGAGTACGAGGAGGAGGCGAGAAGTGAAGGGGAGTACACGTCGCAAGAATAAAGAGAGTCCAACCTTTGGATAGAAGAAACTAAACGAAACAACAACAAAAACAACTAAACGTCCGAGCAACTAACACAATCGCAGTCGCACCCACACACACACTCACGTGCCAACCAGCTGAACGTACGTGTTCGAACGAATCAGCGTGCCAAATCGACCGTGGTAGCCGTCATGTCCTGACTCTCACGCGCGCCCCAAACAATAATTACCACTCCTTCCCACAATCATTGCCTGAGCTATCCAGAGTACGATTTTCAAAAAGACTCTGCCCTTGAGGAGCACCAAACACTCTCCGTCGGGAGGCAGAAAAGCGAACACATTCCAGGGAAGACGTCTGGAGGCGACGCGCTAAGCAGACACGCCTTGGATATATAGGCGCGCTGCCCGAGGAACACCTGGCGGCGTGACAGAGTGGAGGGCCACACCTCGTCGTCCTCCTCGTCATCTTGCCACCCCCCTGCGCTTCCCTCCTCCTCAGCCTCCTCATCCTCCTCCTCCTCCTCCTCCTCCTCCTCTGTTCCCCTCCATCCGTCGAAGACGTCCAAAGCCATCAGCCATAAGAAAAGCTGTACACTTCTTGGATCGTATCTTGGATCGTATCTTGGATCGGCGCGCGGATATCTTGGATCGGCGTTGGCACTCCCCCCCCTGGCGCGCGAAGAACGCCATGGGCGGCGCCGGAGGCGCCGCAAGGGGGCCCAATGCATATTCATGAAATCCACGCGGACCTCCGAAAGATGATGTGCATGCGGCTGTTTCTTGTTGCGTAGCACTCCGCAGTTGCGGATAAGAGTGAGGGGGCGGCGGGGACGTCTGCAGTCTGAGAGGCCCTTAAAGAGCCCGCCGCAGGCGCCTAATTTCCAGAGATTATGCAATGAGCCAGCCGCAGGCGCCGATTTTTCGTTAAGCAATGTGGGCGGGTCGCGGGGTGGGTCGCGGGTGGGTCGCAAGAGTCGCGGGTGGGTCGTGGATGGGTCGCGGGCGGGTCGCGGGCGGGTCGCGGGTGGGTCCCGGGTGGGTCGCGGGCGGGACCCTGGGTGGGTCGCAGATGGGTCGCAGGTGGGTCACGGGTTGGGTCGCGGGTGGGTCGCGGGCCCGGTCGCGACCCCTTTCGCGGCCTGGTCGCGGGTGGATCGCCGGCCCGGTCGCGGGGGGGACGACGCGAAACAACAACAACAACAACAACAACAATCATTTTACCCGAACGCTCAGTGTTCTCACCAGTGCCAGGGTTTTCATGCGACGCGAGACAATACCCCCACTTCGTGGGGGGGCAGTTCAAGCTCTACCAAATATCCAAACGACTCTTCGCGACCACCCAAACCCAGCTTCCCGCCCTATGACGTTGGGACACTTCACTTCGTGGCGTGCGGACGACCGTGGCTACTACACTGGCGTGGGGTACACACCCACAGAACTTGGTCACTTATTCGGGGCGCGCGTGTGCCCAGCATCCTGCAATTGTGACATACAATACATGACACAGACAGACAGAGAGAGAGACAGAGAGCAGACAGAGAGAGAGACAGAGAGAGCGGAGTTGGTCACATTTTTGGGGCAAGTTCCTGAGATCGTCGTGTTTTTTGTTGGTCTTGCGCGCGCGAATGTCCACTTTACTTTTTTTTGCAAGGGATGTTGAAATTTGATTATGTAAGAACAAGAAAAAGTAGCTCGCGCGAGCTTATGTAACATAAATGTTGAAAAACCATTGGTTTTGTGGGAGTCGGACAGCGCGCGCGGGATGAAATTTGGACATTTTTTTTTGAAAAACCATTGGCTTTTTGATGTTTTTATGTTGAAATCGTTACGAAACCTAAGGTTCTGGAAGGATTTCGTCTTGCGCGCGCGAATGTCCACTTTACCTTATTTTTTGCAAGGGATTATTGAAATTTGATTATGTTAGAACAAGAAAAAGTAGCTCGCGCGAGCTCATGTAACATAAATGTTGAAAAACCATTGGTTTTGTGGGATTCGGACAGCGCGCGCGGAAGGACATTTTGACAATTTTTTCTTAAAAAACCATTGGGTTTTTGATGTTTTTATGTTAAAATCGTTACGAAACCTAAGGTTTTGGAAGGATTTCGTCTTGCGCGCACGAATGTCCACTTTACCTTATTTTTTGCAAGGGATTCTTGCAATTTGATCAAGTAAGAACAAGAATTTTCATTTTATAGTGTTTTTTGCAAGGGAAAACGGATTACAACAAAACAACCGGATCCGGTACCAATCCACTTTTCTGAAGCTTTCGCGAAAAAATGATGAAAATGTAGCTGCGGCCTAGGTTTTGGAGGGGGGTCGTGCACCAGGGGTCCCAACAATAATTATTCTTAAGAAGAAATAATGTTCAACAACAACAACAACAACAACAACAACAACATCATCATCACCACCACCAACAAACAAACAAACAAACAAACAAACAAACAAACAAACAAACATAAACAGAAACAAAAAACAAGCACGAACACAAACACACAAGCAAAAACAACAGCAACAACAACACCAACAACAACTACAGCAGCACCGACAATCACAACAACAACAGCAGCAGCAACAACGGCAATCACGATCATGCTGAGACTGTTCGCTCTTACTGGCACGCGCGTCGTGCATTCTGCATACCCCAGTGCTCGATGTCCGCCCACGTCGTCTTCGCTTGCGAAAGGAATCTCTTCCTCGTCGGCCACTGACTGAGGTGCGAGGAACTCTCGTGCGTGAGCGCCGCTCCCGAGCTGGGGGGGCCTCTCTGGCCAAGGGCTCTCGGAATGCAGATGGAGAAATAGCGAAGGATTGCAAAAAAACCCTAGGGTTTTTTTGCAAAAGGATTGCAAAAAAACCCTAGGGTTTTTTTGCAATCCTTCGGTTTTTTTGCAATCCTTTTTGCAATCCTTCGTTTTTTTGCAATCCTTCGTTCTTGTCGCCGTGTCTGGGCCTCCACCAACTTGCCTGAATTGCGAGAAAGCTTCGAGCAAGAGCGCCACTCTTGAGTTTGGAGGCCTCTCTGGCAAGGGCTTTTGCGAGTCCACCTTGAGGACGTATCGAACGAGAGCCGTGGTCGTCGTAGCTGGGCCTCCACCAATTTGACTGCATCGCGAGAAAGTCTCGAGCGAGAGCACCGTTCCTGAGTTCGGGGGCCTTCCTGGCCAGGGGCTCTTGGAGTAAATCGTGAGGAGGTATCGAGCAGGAACCCTTGTCGTCCTGGCTGGGCCTCCGCCAACATGACTGAATTGCGAGGACGTCTCGAACGAGAGCGCAGTTCCTGAGTTGGGGGGCTCTCTGGCCAGGGTGCCTCGGAGTAAATTCTGAAGAGATATCGAGCGGGAGTTGTCATTGCAGCCAGGCCTCCGAAGGCCCACATTTACACTCAAGCCAACGCTCGCGCGGGAGACTCGCTGTGAAAGAAAATGTAACCGGCGTCGGGGCGAGAACGCGCGAAACCATTTCCGGAAATCCACATGAAATATGTTCTATAAGTGGACTGTAGCACGAACAACAGCAACAGCAACAACTACTACCACTACTACTACTACTACTACTACTACGACTACTACGACTACGACTACGACTACGACTACGACTACGACTACGACTACGACTACTACTACTACTACTACTACTACTACTACTACCACTACTACTACTACTACTACTTCTACTACTCCTACTACTACGACAACTACTACTACTAAGACGACTACTGCTGCTACTACTACGACGACTACTGCTGCTACTACTACTTCTACTTCGACTTCTACTTCTACTTCTACTACTACTACTACTACTACTACTACTACTACTACTACTACTACTACTACTACTACTACGAGTACCACTACCACTACGACTAGTAATAAACGTAATACTACTGCTACTGCTGCTGCTGCTGCTACTACTACTACTACTTCTACTTCTACTACTACTACTACTACTACTACTACTACTACTACTACTACTACTACTACTACGAGTACCACTACCACTACGACTAGTAATAAACGTAATACTACTGCTACTGCTACTGCTGCTGCTGCTGCTGCTACTACTACCAGTACTAGTAGTCATACTACTACTACTACTACTACTACTACTACTACTACTACTACTACTACTACTACTTCTACTACTACTACTACTACTACTACAACTACTACTTCTACTACTACTACTAGTACGACTACTACGACTACTACTACTACTACAACTACTACTACTACTACTACTACTACTACTACTACTACTACTACTACTACGACTCTTACCACAATAACAACAACAGTAGCAAAACCAACAACAGCAATCATGTTCAAATTGTTCGCTCCTATCTGTCCACGGGCCAATGAATGCGTATATCTAAGCCCTAGGTAGCCGCCCTCTTCGTCTTCGATCGCACCCCCTTGGAGGTATATCTTTCTCATCTGCCACGTGCATCTAGTGCAGCCCCAAAAATAAGGGAAGAGAGGACGGGTGGAAGGAGGAGGGAGAAGAATGGCGCACGAGAGAAATTAGCCGCAGGGGGGCAAGGAACAGAAAACCAGTGGTAGAACCAGACGGGCAGTTCGGGTGGGCAGACGCATGACGGGCAGGTCGGGAAGGCGGGCCCAGGCGACGAGGTCGAGCAGGCGGGTTGCTGAAGCGTGGGCCCTGCATGAATCGCGAGGAAGTCTCGAGCGACAGCGCGTGAGAAAAGCCAAAGCGAGAGCGTGATTCATGAGCGCCGAGGGCGCATCGTCTGATGCGTACATGAGTTGTGAGGAAGTCCCGCGCGAGAGCGCGATTTGGGAATTCATTTTGAGGAACTATCAGGCGGGAGCCGCTGTTGTTCTAAACCGGGGGCCAACGTCCCTGAAAAAAAACAGGGTGCGAACCCAGGGGGGAGCACATCAATTGAAAATGCACAATGGTCACTGGAGAGGAGGATCAACAATTAGTATTCTTGAGTCGTGAGGTCAACAACAACAGCAACATCAACCGCAAAAACAACAACAGTAAAAACAACAACAGCAGCAACAACCTCAACAACCACATCGAACACAACATCAACAACACAATCGACAACATCAACACCACCAACAACAACAATGACAACAACATCAACAACAACAAAAACAACAACACACATAACAAAAGTAAAAACACTAACGCCACTACCACCAGCAGCACCAACAACAACAGGAATCCGCATCGCGGAATCCCACTTCAGCCACGCACCCAGGGACAATGACTGACCGTTCGGCCCCCTCACTCTGACATCCTCGTCATCCTTTCCCTCCTCCTCCTCCTCCTCCTCCTCCTCCTCGCCGTGGCCCTCCTCCTCGGCCCAGACCTGCTTCACTCGCCATCGCTCGGACGTCCATTCCGTGTGTTTTTTTCAGTTTCGTGCGTGTTTTTTCGCCAAATGATCAAGGATGCACTGACGAACCAACAACACACTCCCATACCCACAAAGGGGTCGGAAAGGGCTATGGGTGCGTGTTGTCGGATGGGGGTCCCCGCTCGAACGGGAGCGTTCCCTAGGGTCCGACAACCCGCACCCATACCCATAGCCAGTCCTCCTCCCAACGACCCCCTTATGGGTATGGGTGTGTGTGTGTTGTTCGTTCGTCATGCTCCTCGATGGCCCTCGCCGAAGGAAAACTGCACACGCCCGAGAGATGCCGAGGCTCCTGCAGCGACCCTCCGGCGGGCCGCCGCGGAGGCGCCGGGCGCGCCCCTGCGATCCCGCAGGGGCCTGGGCCTGGGCAGGCCGAGGGCCCGCGGGCGCGGAGGGACCTCGTCCCTCTGCCGGCCCGCCTCCCCGAGAGGGGAGGTGACTGGCGACGTCAGCGGGGAGCAGCTCAGGTTCAGTGGGGCCTGTCCCCCTACAGGGGGAATGGGGGCGAACATGAAAACAAAAAAAAACAAAAAAAACAAAAAAAAAAAAAAAAAAAAAATGATAAAATATATATATATATATATATATATATATATATATAATACCCCAAGGCATCAACAAAAATACTAAAAAAGCATAGTCCCCATACTATGTTTCGACTATTTTTGAGTTTTCCCCCCGTAGAGGGACAGGCCCGACTTTAAAGCCCAAGGGAGGGAGCATCGGCCAAGAATCGGCAATGCATCGCCGATGGATCGGCGACTGGCCCCCGACAGCAACTCCGGTCGCTCCTTGGTGCGGGTGGGCGATCGGGCCCGCATCGGCTGTGAATGGGCGATCGGAGGTCGATGCATGACCCCCTGAGCCTATCCCGCCACAACGATGCCCCTGAAGGAAGGAGGGGGAGAAGGAGGGAAGGACCTTGGTGATGGGCCGATTGCGTCTTACGGCAAGGGGCTGCATGGGAGAAGCGGAAACATGACTCTCACGGGTCATGTGCGCGGATTTCTCTCATATGTTCTTCCTCTGACGTTCGCCCCAGGCTCACTGCCCCAACGTTGACATATAAAACACTGCATAAACATAAGCTCACGGAGGCCGCGCGGAGTTCTCGGATCGGCGCTGGAGCCCCCCTGGCGCACAAGGAGCAGCGACGATCCGACGTTCTATGCTTATGCCGCTTCTCGTTACTCGTCTTACGTCAAACATCGGGCGTCGGCGGGACTGGGTTTAGGGTGTAAGGGGACCTGGTTTAGTGATGCGTGCCGGGGGACAACCCACTCGGCGGGACTGCCGTCATCCAAAGAAACACAAAAAACGGCAGACTTGGCTCAATAATTCTGGTATTCTTTGAGGGGGGGCTTCGGGGCCCAATCACTCACCAGCTCCCCCCCACCCGGGCTCGGGCCTATATCCTACATCCGAAAAAGATTGCATGCGTCGTGCCATGCACCCCCGACACCTGACGCCGGCCATTGCATCGGGCACACCATTTGAGCAGGGACCGACCGTCCCGGCATCTCTATAGGCATTCCACTAAAGATTCTTATGATCCAAAGCTGCTCGAGTAGCAAAAACAGTATTCTCATAATATAAACCCGATGCGTGAAAACAAGACAGTCCCAGCCATGAATGTTCTGAGAGCATGTATTGCAGACCTCAAACCTCAAAAAGCTCTTAGAACAATATCTGGTGAGCCTATGGGCGAGCCAGGACGCTCTTCGCCACTGCTTGAACCCTTTTGGCCCCTGTCACCGGCGACTCGCTGCCCCGACGGTGCCCCCCCGCCGAGGAGGAGGGGGAGGAGGAGGGGGAGGAGGACGAGGAGGGGGGGAGGAGGGGGAGGAGGACGAGGAGGAGGAGGAGGAGGAGGAGGAGGAGGAGGAGGAGGAGGAGGAGGAGGAGGAGGAGGAGGAGGCCCTCCGCCCGACTGCCCCCTCCGCCCTCTGCGGCCTTGGCTCTCGCCCGTACCTGCGGAGGCTGCGCCGCGGGGTGCTTCGGAGCGGGGCGCGCTGAGGCAGCGGCAGCTCAGAGTCGACAGCCTCCGGGAGTCCCAGCACGCCAATGCTCCGAGCCGAGTCCCGCCGTGGCGAGGAGCTCCGAAAGTGCCTCCTCCTCGTCCTCCTCCTCCTCCTCCTCCTCCTCCTCCTCCTCGGGTTTATGCAACTCTCTGTTCCTCCTCCTCCTCCCTCCCTCCTCCCTCCTCCTCCTCCTCCTCCCTCCTCCAATGCTCCGAGCACGCCAATGCTCCGGGGGGCCCCCGGCGTCAAACTAATTACTGCTGTCTCGGCTCACCTTCCGAGGAGCGCGGCAGACGACCCGCATCTGCCAGCACTCTGGCCCCCCATGCGCGCCCGGGCTTGGCACATGCGTCTGGTGCGGCCCCCTAGTCCTCCTCCTCCCTAGTTTATGCTGGGGACGAGGAGAAGGAGGAGAAGGAGGAAGAGGAGGAGGAGGGTGGGAAGCTCCTGCTCCCAATGTTGTCCTCTTTCTCTTTCTCCTCCTCCTCCTCCTCCTCCTTCCTTCCTGCTCCTTCCCCTACTAGTACGTGTCCTCATTCTCCTCCTCCTCCCCACTCCTTTCTCCCCCATTCCTCCTCCCTCGTTCACCGCCCTCCCTCTCCCTCCTCATCGCCACTCCCAACTACCTGCCTCCCCCCCCTGCAGCCTCCCGCTCACCTGCATGCGGGGGCGCCCGTTAGCGGGCCAAGGACAAAGAGAAGCAGAAGAAAAGAAAGGGAGGGGACAAGTGACTCGGCCAGGCTGAACTCGGCCAGCTGAGCTCGGTCAGGGCCCGATGCAGCCTGGCCGAGATGAACTGGCCGAGTTCAGCCTGGCCAGGTGCATCTGACCGAGTTCAGCCTGGCCGAATTTCCCTGACCGATCTTAGTTGCTGCCCAGGGGAAAGACGGGGAGGATGAGCAGAGAGGGGGAACTCGAATTGGCCTGACGTGGCCGTCAGAAAAAATGCCCCTCCTTTGAAACTTGGCGCGAACTCCTGCTGAACAATTTCACTGAAAGTGAACCGTCAAACACAAAAGATGGCCGTCGAAAAGCGGCGGTAAACCCGAATGTCGGCAAGCTCCAGTCTCATGTTTCCCCGGAAGGAAGAGCGTGAAACAGGAAGAAAGGCAGACAGGAAAAGGAAAGAAACGGGGAAGATGAACATGGAAAGATGAGGAGCGGTAGACGCGGAGCAGAAAGGAAAAACGCCGTTGCTCTCGGGGACGAGGCTCCCTGCGTCCCACAAAGCCGCCGTCGTGTTGGCCATCTCTGACGTGTGGCTGCTGTCGTGCACGGCCCATGTTTGGCCGGGCACGGGCTACAGCGTGGTTCGATCAACCCTGAAGAAGGCACATGACCCAGCGGTATGCTCCACACGTCAAGTGACAGTGCAAACTAACAGTCGCCACGACAAACGGACAAAAACGTTCGACTTGCCGCCGATTTGCGGAAACAGAACGGCACGAACATGCCCATTGAACTCTACGGCTGCCGCGGGGCAAAACCGCAAGAAATGGGGACATCGGGCCACGGGGCCAACCTCCCAGAGCATGCCCTACCAGCCTCGAACGTATCCCTATGCCTAAGATTGAAACGCCCAACGGCGCTGACAATCTTAGGGATTCGCCCTAAAAAAAAAGGGGAATCCCTAAGATTGGCATCGTGATGAGGAGGTGCCCAGCATAGGGATAGGGATAGGTTCCAGGCTGTCTTAGGGATTCGCCCTCAAAAAAAACAAAGGGAATCCCGAAGATTTGCATCGTGATGAGGAGGTGCCCAGCATAGGGATAGGGATAGGTTCCAGGCTGATAAATGCCTGGATGATGCTTGCGGCTCAAGCGTTTGCACAACCCCTTCCGCCGTGCCGGTCGGGCGAGCTCCCCGCATTCCCCCAGCCGGGGGGCATGGCAGGAGGCGGGGCGGCGGGACGACCATGAAGCCCATGTCGATGCCGCCGCCTGGCAGCGTTCGGTGGCAACCCCGGGGAGGTACAGCAAAATCGATCGCAGGGACGGGGGGTAAGGACGCGAGGGCGTTGGACGCCGAAGTTGGCACTTTTTGGGCGGCGGACCACCAACACCCTGAAGGGCCGGCAAATGAAAAACGCGAAGAACGGGGCGCAGAGGCAAAGACGCAAGGGCACCCTGAGGACATCCGTGCGTCCTTACTGTGGGTTGTGTCTGCATCCTGAGTACAGCCTGAGCGGGATGCGGGAGCTGGAAAGCCAGACTGAGCCAGGAGCTGGAAAACCTCAGGGCCAGTTTCCCTAGAGATCCGCTTGCGTAATGGCGAGCTCGAGACAAGAGCTTCGATCCCTCGAACCTCGACCCTGAGGGGAACGTCAGGGGGACTGGCTCAGAGGGAAAATATCGGCCTGAAACTGCCGGCACATCGCCGAGATAGTAGATCGGCAACAGGCCCTCGACTGCAAAACCGCACGTTCCTGGACGTGGTGGACCATTGGGCCCCTGGCCCCTATCGGAGATCAACGGGCGTTGGCGGTCGATGCGTCCCCCCCTGATCTGAGTCCCTCAATAGTTCTGGGTCCCCGGACTACTGGTACCCCCCGGGCTACAGGTACCCCTTCCGTACACCTCCTCCGACTACAAGTCCCCCCCCTGGGAATAGAAGTACCCCGCCCCGGACTACAGGTACCCCCCCCCCCGGACTACAGGCACCCCCGTTGGGCGCTACAAATCCCCTCCGAAGCTACAGGGCCCCGTCAATTCGCTATCCCCTGGCAGCCAAAGCGGCCCACCAAGCATGTCTCTGCACATTTCCACCCATCGCCCATATTGGGTCAGCGGTCGAGACGGGGCACGATCGACGGACGAATGGGCATCGAAACAGGGACAAAACGACATAAGGAAAGAGACATCTACAGAAAAAGAGGCACACGAGTAGGGAGGAAGGGAGGAACAGAGATATTGGGAGAGAAAGAGAGACACCGATTGCCGGACTAACAGAAAGAGAGACGGCGAGACATTGAGAAAACACAGCACAAGGAGGGAGGTATGGAGGGAAACATGGAGGAAACATGGAGAATGGGAGAAAGAGAGAGAGAGAGAGAGAGCGCGTGCAGTCTCGCATGCGCATACACCCGCGCGCCGAAACCCGTGCGCGTGGAGCCACGCGTGTTTCGAAGAATAATATGCGCACCCCCGACTACAGGTACCCCCGCGCGGCCCCACCCCTGGACTACAGGTACCCCCCCGACTGCAGGTACCCCTTCCCCGGACTACTGGTTTCCCCCCCTGGACTACTGGCAACCCCCCCGGACTACAGGTACCCACCCCGGACTACAGGTACCCCCAGAACTATTGGAGGACACAGAGTAAGCCTGTCCACCCCTAGCGTTGCCCCTGACTCGTGGCGAGTCCAAAGAAAAAACCTCGATCCGTCGAATCTCGATCCCCGAACCACCGGGACAGGCACGCCGTGCAGACCCAGCGCGCCATCTGTATAAGAAAAACAACATCAACATCGATTGTCGGAACTCCGCTCGGATTTCTAGGATCGGCGCTGGACCTCTTCCAGTGGCGCGCGGTGCGCGCCAGAGCTGCCACGGTGGGCCCAACGCCGATCCGAGAGTTCCGCCCGGAGTTCCACACAAATACGCTTGGTTACGCAATTCTTCATTCGAATCCAAGAAAAGAGCCTCGCCCCCTCGATCCCTCGACCCTGAAAACGCTGGGGCAACCACGCGATGCAAACCTGGCGCGCCATATTTTGGGACACCCGAAATGGGTATGGAAAATGGGCAACTACGATGCCCAGCAGCTAACGCTATCCAAAAACAACAGAAACCGCTGCTGGGCGGCCGTGTGTCTGTCTCAAGTAGACAACGCCTGCGACGACACCATCAGCGAGTCCTGCTCAAGATGAGCAGGACGTGCTGTCAACCGTCAGCCCCCGTCTTTCCGCACCCGCTCCGATCGTAGCGAAACACGAGGGCAGGCACGCCATGCAGACCGGGAGCACCAGACTGGTCTTTCGAGCAGGCCAGGGTCAACGACAGCTTAAAGTCAGTTCCCGGACCTCTCCTCCCCCTCCTCCTCCTCCTCCTCCTCTCCCTCCTCCTCCTCCTCCCTCTTCCTCCTCCTCGTCCTCCTCCTCCTCGTCCTCCCTCTTCCTCATCTTAATCCTCCTCCTCTCCTCCTCTCCTCCTCCTCCTCCTCCTCCTCCTCCTCCTCCCCTTTCTTCCTCTCTCCTCCTCCTCCTCCTCCTCCTCCCTCTTCCTCCTCCTCCTCCTCCTCCTTCCGTAGCCATTTTGGCTCAAGGCTTTGGTTCCCCAGCGGAAACAAGTGGATACCGCTAGTCCGCGGCCAGCGTTCAATTCTTAATCGCTCCGCGGCGCGAGCCGCCCAGGCCACGCAGCATCGCTCCCAGTCTTGACCTCTCCTGCCGCAGGTGTGACATGGCCAGTGGCGCACGACCGCCTTCCCATGGCTCTGGGGCTGCCGCCCGACGGGCCTGGGCACAGGCTTGGCACTGCCGCTGGCGTGTACACCCCAAGACAGGCGAGAAGGGGTGGAAGAAGGCTGAGTTACTCTCGTGTTCGATGCGTTCGTGCACCAAAGGGGTCGCCTTTGGTGGCAACAAGGCGCCTGTGCTGCCCAGCACACACGCCAAGGCGCCGCCGCCCAAGCCCAAGGACACCGATGCCAAGAAGGAAACCTGTGCCAAGAACCTGGAGATCATTCGTCTCAAGGCCCAGCTCCAGGCAGCGGGTGCGAGCACTGCAGCCAGTCAGGAGCCGCTTGTCTCGGAGCCAACCAACGTTGAGCAGGGGAGGCTGGGCGAGATCGCGTCCACCCTCAAGGCCCTGGGCTCCCTCGAGGTCGCTGCCGTGGTGCGGGCCCGTGACGAGCTCGTGCGTGAACGAGGTGAGCTCAAGGGACGCATTGTTGCCAGCAAGCCATTCTCGTCGCAGGTTCATCATTTCACGACCCGCATCGACCAGTGCAAGCGACAGCGGTCCGAGTTGGAAGACAAGCTGGCCAGCCAGCAGGCAGACAAGGAGAAGCTGGAGCTGCTCATTGGTGAGACCGCTGCGGAGCTCGCCAGGTTGGAGCAAGAGACCATCGACCTCGAGTCCCAGAGAGTACAAGTGGCGCTCAAAGCGCCCACGGTTGCAGCAGGCAGTGTCTCGCTCAAGGCCATGGTGCCAGCGCTGGAGCTCCCAGTTGACAGGTTCGGGGAATTGCTGCGCGAGCTGGGGGCGGACGCTACCCTCACGGCCTCGGTCAGCTCGTGCTTCGAGGCGCTACGCGAGCTGCAGGCCAAGGCGGCTGCGCAAGCTGCTGCCGCGTCTTCGGCCTCGGGGTCGCCGCCCCCAGGCTAGCAGCCTGGGCAGGCATCTGAGGCGGAGCGGCAGGATCAGCAGCAAGCAGCAGCAGCCGCAGTCCCCATGGACACCGACGACATTGAGGAGCTGCGCTCGTACCTCACCGCAGTCGGGATTGAGCCGCCAGCAGAGGAGGCCGAAGTCCGTGAGAGGGTCAAGCGGATGGCTGAGGCGGTCACCGTCTACGCCAAGAGGCGCAAGGTGGCAGCTCGAGACTGTGGTATGCATGCTCGGTATCCTGATGTGGTTGGTCCTAAGCTTTATGTCCTGCTGGCGGTTTCAGTTACTGCCCTTGCACTCACTCGTCTGCCGCCCATCCCCTCATACGTGTTGGCGGCTATGCCTTAATGTTCTCGGCCCTAGTGGCCATGTGCCTTCGCGTGGGGTTGGCAGGGCGGGCAGCTGGCGAGCAGAGAAGGGAACGTGTACATCGTGCGAGGCTACGTCTTCCAGGCTTGTGTCGCGCTGGTGGTTTCAGCTTCTGCCCTCGCACTCGCTCGCGTGCAGCCCATCCCCCGATAGGCGTTGGTGGCTATGCCGTAATGTTCTGGGCCGTCGTGGCCATGCGCCTTCGCGCGGGGTCGTCAGGGCAGGCGCCAGGCGAGCAGAGAAGGGGTCTGGACTTCCTTGGCTACGGCCCCCAGGCGTGTGTCTTGTGGGCGGTTTCAGTCACTGCCCTTGCACTCACTCGCGTGCCGCCCATCTCCTGATACGCGTTGGCGGCCATGCCCTACTGCTCTCGGCCCTAGTGGCCATGCGCCTTCACGCGGGGTCGGCAGGGCGGGCGCCAGGCGAGCAGAGAAGAGATCGTGGTCTTCGTGCGCGGCGATGGCCATGACAGTACGCATGCAGTGGTGGGCCAGCAGCTACAGGGGGCTGGGCAGTGGCAGCCTACGGCCGTGGTGCGCAGGCCTACTGCGCCCCCCCCCCCCCCCCCCGCGTTGCGCTCGATGCGGCTAAGACACATACCGTCAGGAAGCTGGAGGTCGGATTTCACCTGGCCTCCAACGTGGAGGTGTTCAACACCTTCGCGGTCGCATTGCAGGTGGCCTTCTCTGGGTTGTGCTTGCAGGTGCTGCTTCAGGAGCAGGTGCTGTTCCAGTGTGCAGCGTGGTCACAGCCGATAGATCGTCACAGGGGGTGCTGACCGATGTACTCAGCATGCCCAGCTGCAGCAAGTCCATTGCGTTGGTGCAGGAGCAGCACGCCGACCGAGAGCACCTTCCCGATGCACAAGCTGCTGCTACTCGTCTGGGCGCCTCAGGCCTTTCGGCTACAGCGCCAGACACGGGCAAGAGGGGCACGGTCGGGGGCCTTGCGGCCCTGGCGCCCAAGCGCATTCGCGTCAGTCTTGGACCAGGCTTTGACGGGCCTGAGTTGGTTCCAGGTCGTGTCTTGGCGTCGCATCTACACTGGGGTCCTGAAGAGGGTGTGGTGCTCATATCAATCTATTTGATTTGTTCAATTGAGCTGCGCGATGACAACCTGGAGATATTCTCTGCTTTAGCCAAGTACATCAGCATGCTGAACGCGCAGCAGCGCCATTGGGTTATTGCTGGAGGTTGGAATATGGCGAGCTGAACACCAAGAAGTTCAACTCTCTCTATGGTT